ATTCTCTGTAATAAAGTTTAATCTACTTTATAATCACTACTTTTGGAGGAATCTCTTTGGAATCTTTGCCTCTTCTCAGATTTAAGATTAGCTTGTACATGGAAGACCTTATTGAAATAATGACTGATATAAAAGTACATCACTGAAATATGCTAATAGTGCTTTCTCATTCATGTATTGATTTCTAAATTAAAGTCACTTTCAAAAAATCACATTGTCTATGAATGAAAATCCTATGCATGATTAAAATCACTTCCTGCTAACTGTCTGATTGGAAAAACTTCAGCACAAATTAGCTTTTAGTGAGGCCTCTGTCAACTGTCCCAATAAGGAATCTCTAATAGTAAGAGCTGATTTGCAATAGAGATTTCACAAAAGCAAACTAGCATATTTGTAATCATCATATGATAAAAGATGATCATGTGAAGCAACCTTAAATGATTACCTCTCAAAAGAGAATTCACTAATTATTGCAAATGGGGACTGCAAAAATAGCCACTTCAATTTCTCAAGTACCATAGAGAATTTGAATTTTTAAAATGTCATGTTTTACCTTAAAAGGCATTCATTTTAGACATATCCAGATAGTTTAAATTTATCCTCTTACTGAAGAGTAGACTTATAAGATAGTAAAACATGTCCATCATAAGCTTTTCTTCTTCCCATATGGATGAAAACATTCCTTTTCAGAAAGAAAAAGGTATATGTTTAATGAAGAAGAGGATAAATTTGAAGCAGAAGTGATGGATGGCAGTGACCTTTCTATCTGTAAAACATCAGCATATAATAGGCTATTTAATCTTGAGAACTGGATTATTATTAATCAATTATTCATGACAGTTTGAATATATGGGAGATGCTTCTTGTTTTGTTAAATATCACAAAGCAGAAGTCCTGTTTGAGCAACAGAAAGATTAAATCTGAGTAAATGTACAAGATACTACAATCTTCAATGTCTACTGCTATTTCAACTTAGAGTATTTACCTGAAAGGAAGACTTAGATTAGTTCCCAAATTAATTATTGTTATGAGTTGTAGTCATAAGGTACTGAAGCATGGTAATGAATGCAGAAGAGGGAAGAGAGTAGTATGCAATATTCCTTTCTGGGAGAAATGTCTTAAACTGTTTACTTTACAACAAACATAACATCTTTTATACCTTTCTTAAAGTTACAGAGCAAGCAGAATTGTAGAATACAGTCCTATATTTGCAATAATTTTTATTACAAGAATAATAATATGAGCAGGGAATATGTAATTTGCTTTAACAGTAAACCTAACATTTTGGAAGAAAATATGTGTTTTGGAATGAACACTGCAACACCTTGTTTTTAATTTCATACTTAAAATTGTCAAGTCCATCTTCACTTTACCACTGCAATTAAGTAAATATAAATTGATGACAACCATTTCAAAAGTGTTGTTTAATCTGCTATAAATATTGTTGGCTCTTAGGGACTACATTGTGAGATTTTCTTCATCAACACAAGTTAGTATTTTTCAAGAGTATGCTTACAATTGCATTCAGATTTTGTTCTACAATTTCAATTTTCTAAATGGAAAAGTATTTTAAATGAAACAGTAACAAATTCCTGATAGTAACTAAGTATTGTAATAGTACTGTATTAATAAAAATTAAACTTTATGACAACCTACGTGAGTATAAATGTTTCTCACTAATGGCACCTGTATAAATATTTTCATCAAGTCAATTAAACATCTAACAGAAAACATTGCTTTTCTTGTACTAAGAGACACAAAAAAACCAAGGACTCTGCATCAGAATCTTAATTCCAGAGTTGTGCAACAGTGAGATGGGCAACATTTATCTTTAATAAACAAATAAATAAAATCATTTATAAGCCATTCATACATGGTTCCTGAGCAAATCAAAGTATGAAAGGTCATTAGAATCAAAACTAAGACTATCTCAATCAAAGAATACTAAATGAAGAATTTGCAGAAAACAAAGAGTTGACTCAGAAAGAAATTTATAAAAACAGCAGCCTAGACAGGCCTTGCAATATTCTTCAGATACTGAGGAAATGACAGAAGTTTACCTCCAACAAACCCTCCCCCCCACAAGCACTTCAATTTTAATAAATAAAATTACATCCTTGGATACTATGATAATAACATTCATGGATATTTGCCAGTAAGATTGGTCCATGGTTTATTCTTTTACTGCATATTATAAAATAAAAAAGAAACATTTGGAAATAATTACAGCATAAAATTTAAAAGATCTTATAACAAAAAAGCAATAATTAAAACTATGTAGGTGGAAAAACAATCCATTCAGGGGAAAGTAATATTCAGTCATGAATGTATCAATAAGCAAAAGCAAGATTAAAAGAACTGTTCTATTCCTACCCATGCTTTGTTAACAGATCAAAAATCTAAAGCACTGACATTTTTCTTTAATGCTGTTTTCATCACTTCTTGCATATACTGTTTTTAGCAACAAACTAAAAATAGTATGCTATTATCTTCTACGAGGATGGTTTTGTTTCGGTTTTGGACTTTCTGGTTTAGCTACAGAAAGCTATACTCCTGAGATTTCCTCATAATTTCCAATTGACATATTAATCAAGACCATCTTTTCTTGACTTTTTCAAGAGCAATACTTACTTGATAGTATTCAACTTGCATCCAAGCTGGATTTATACATGAAATAATGTGATATTTGAAATAATAACATGATAAACATTTACATTATTCTATAAACCTAACTAACATGAATTATAATACATATGTATCTTGTTTAATATATTCTGTGAATTTTGATTTGTTTTTAGCATTTCACAAGAACAAAAGCCCTATCTTGGTGAAATACTTCTGCACTTGTTACAAGAAATAAAAAGATTGCTTTGTACATTAATGAATCCCTAATCAGAATTGAAGTGTCATATTAGCGCAGATTCTTGGAACAAATAAATTCTTCTCATGTTGTTTATACATATGATCTATAGAGCCTACATATCAAAACACTTTTTTGTCTGCTTTATTTTAGTTTGACGCACCTGGAGGAAAATAACACTCATGTGCAAATGCTGTCTTTTGATTTTAGTTCAGTGTTCAACACAATTATTCCTCAGCATTTGATGAACAAACTGTGTCTATTGGGTTTTAATAGTTCTTTATGTAACTGAGTACTTGATTTCCTTATTGATAGGCCCCAGTTTGTGGGAGGTGGAAGAAACATTTCCAATTCTATCTCCTTGAGTACACATTCCCCATGGGACTGTTTCTTGAGTCCATTATTGTTCTCCTTGACTGCTGTGCCAAGTCTGTTATGAATCATATTGTAAAGTATGTGGATGACACAGCAGTGGTGGGTCTTATCAGGGATGACAATGAACATTCTTATAGGGAGGAGGTGAAGGCTTTGGTGGATCGGTGCAATAAAAATAACCTGGTTTTGAATGTTAACAAAACAAAGGAGATCACTGTTTATTTTTGAAAGAACTGGCACAGTCATACACCACTTTGTATCAAGTCTGCAGCTGTGGAGGTAGTCAATAGTGTTAAGTATCTGGGAGTGCAGATAACTAACAGTCTGATTTGGTCTCTTCATACTTTATCTTCAGTGAAGCATGCAAACCAGTGTTTGCATTTTCTGCATCAGATGAGGAAAGCACATCTTTCTCCTTCTGTCCTGGTCACTTTTTACAGATTGAGGGTGTTTTAACAAACTGCACCACTTTTTGGTTTGGTGGCAGCAGTGCCTCAGATAGAAGGTCCATATAGAGAGTGGTAAGGACAGCTGAGAAGATTATAGGCAGCTCACTTCCCGATATTCAGGATACTGCTTATAAAGGCTATGTGCTAGAGCTCAAAGTATTGTTAGATACCTCACACACAAACTTCATGGTCTGTTTCTGTTACTCCCCTCTGGGAGGAGGTTTCAAATTATCTACAATAGGATTACTAAATTCTGTAACAGCTTTGTTCCTTATGCCATCTGTCTTGTAAACTCACAGGGTTTTTTTTGCCAAGTGTGTGTATACATTCCGATTAGATTGTGATGTTTCTCTGTGCCATATAAGTGTGTGTATATGGGAATATGCATAATGGTTATCTTTTGAGAGTTGAATACAACAAAATTTCATTTTAACATATGCTGATTAGTATACATTTAAAGTGACAATAAAGTTTTTATTCTATTCTATTCTATCTACTGTAGAGCCTACATATCAAAAGATGTCGTGTTAGATGTCACAATCCTTTAATGAAATTCCATAGCAATTATTCAAAAGTAATGTGCTCCTGCACACTCATACACCAACCAATAAGGCTATAATTCATGCTAAGCCGTAGTTTATTTTAGCTATCGTTTTTTTATGGAGAAATACAACTGGATCATCCAGAATGCAAAAATAATGATCCTGGTTTATAAACAATAATGTTGGGCTCGCACATTGTTCTAAACCACAAACAAACAGATCCTGTTGCAGTTTAACAAAATATGTCATGTCAGAAAATAACCAGAACTATGTAACACATATTGCTATAATTATAAAAAAGAGCAATTGAGATACTGGATGGATCTATCTACCAATCTAAATTACAATGTGGCTTGTTTGGTTAGGGTAGAACACTATGTGAATACTTTATAATATTTATACTTTATACTATTTTATAATATTTATACTTTATACAATTTTATAATATTTATACTTTATACTATTTTATAATGTTTATACTTTATACTATTTTATAATATTTATACTTTATACTATTATATTTTATAAAACTATTTATAATTCAACACAACATATGAAGCTAAGCAAAATCACCAATATAATGTATTTGTGTCACAGTTTCTCCTCTTTGATACATAAGATTTACAGAAACAATTCTTGGGGAGAAATTTGATATCCTTGGTAACATATTGTTGTACAATAACAGTCTATAGGCAGTTTACATTGAAAACTGCTTCCTCCCCCTCCCTCAAAAAAAAAAAGGAACAGTAGCTTTGCTGTTTTGTACATACTTACTTCTGATGATATTATAATCACTGCCATTTCTCCAGATGGGCTGGCCTTGTGTATCTGCTTTTATGTTTTGATTAAGCACATGTTCTGGTCCTCTTATCACTCCTATAGCTGTTTTGTCTTCATCCTTGTTTTCTAAGAACCACAAAACATTCAAGTATAGTTAACATTTTCTTTTTCCATTTCAAATTTACTTCAAGAATTTCCAACAGGATCAACATTTTTTAAAAAATGATGGTTTAACTTTAAAGTCATGTTTTAACATGTTTGCAATTACCATTTGTGTTTCAAAACTCTAAGAAATTCCGATGTAAAGCACATCTTATAATCCATGTGACACAAAGGATACAAAACTTTGCCACATTGTGTAATATACTAAATGGCAATACAAATCAGAGTCCATGCATTAGTATTAGTCCTTTATATCAAAATTCAGATTTTAGTCTAACAAAAATGAATCCAGATAAACATTTATTGTGATAAATGAGTTTCACCATTAGTTGACAGATAGACCTTTAGTAATTTATAATTGATATATTCTACAAAGAATAGTTTTTCACCAAAATTCAATCTACTACAGTTGTTGAGAAACTCAACAGATCTATAGTCTATCCACAATCACATCCTACACACAATCTTTTTCCCATAAGCAATGCAAAAGAAATTTGAAATACTATAAATGAATTGATATACTATGTTTGACTATGGAAAGACAGGAGTCAATAGAAGAGAAATTAGAAGCATTCTAAATGAGTAAGTGGAAACAGTTTAGCATCACATTCCATTAGAAAAAGGAATCTGCACTAAAAGACAAACTGTTTAATAGTATATTCCAACAGAGGAGGGAAGATTTATTCACAGGAAAAGTTGTATACACAATCTATAAAAGAAGAATGGATTTACAAGATTTAGTGGGAAACTTTTGATCTGATTTTATTTTTTTATTTAAATTTTTAATCCTGCCTTTGTTATTTTTATAAATAACTCAATACACTTTCCTCCTATTTACCCCACAACAACCCTGTGAAGCGAAAGACTGGCCCAAAATCAACCCAGCCAATTTTCATGCCTCCAATAAGACTATAACTCACAGTCTCCTATTTCTTTTATTATTATTACACAATTGTATCACAGCGGCCAGTTGTTTCGCCAGATTTGGCATTGCTTACTAGTCGGGCCCC